CCCGACCCAAGACCCCTGTTACGCGCCTGCTTATAAGTGGGGCCCCCCACTTTGAAAAACGTTCCGCCGGCCCTGCTATGTATGGATCTTGTTTGTCTTCCTTTGCTTTCTTAAGTATCAACTTTGCTGTTTGTACTGCCTTTTCAGCTCTTCTATTTGATTGCGGGTAATTTGGTTACACTAAAATATGTTCAAATTCATATGATTTACCGAAAGCTTTAAACTCCGCTGATGAAAATTGCGGTCAATTATCTGACACTACCTCACGTGAGATTCTATGTCTCGCAAATTGTTGCTTACAGAATTTGATGACTGAATTGGATTTTGTACTTGTCAACTGATTTATTTCAAAGTATCCTGAATAGTAATCAACTATCAATAGATAGTATTTTGCGTACAGTTCCAATAAATCCATTCCGACTTTTTGCCATGGATGTGTTGGTATGGCATGTCCTATCATCGGTTCTTTTGCGTTTCGATTTCTGTGTGTTACACAAATCTCACACCTGCTCACTGTATCCGCTATTTGTGCATTCATACCAGGCCAGAACATAATATCTCGCGCAATTCGCTTGGTTTTTTCAATGCCTTGATGACTTACATGAAGCTTTGCAATCAGTTGTTTTCTCAGTTTTGCTGGTATTATCACTCTGTCATTTTTAAACAATAGCTCATCTTCCACTAATATTCCTCTCCGTAGTCCCAGTATGGTTTTAACTCAGTATCTAGGATCGCTTTGTTACTGGGCCATCCTTCTCTGATAACTTCCTTTAGTTTTGTCAAAGTGATATCATTTGTAATTTATTGTTTAATTTCTACTAGCCTTTCATTTGACATTGGTAGATTTTTTTACCATGTATATCGGTATTTCTTTTTCTGTTTCTACATCTGGTAGATGATTTCTATTCAATGCATCTGCTATATACAGTTCTTTACCTTTCTTGTAAACCAATTCGAGACTGTATTTCTGCAATGTTAATAACATTCTTTGTAGTCTTGGTGGCGCCATTGCTAGAGCTTTCTTCATAATACCTTCAAGTGGCTTATGGTCGCTTTCTACTACAAATTCTCTGCCATATAGATATTTGTGAAAACGTTCGCATCCAAATACTACTGCTGCTAACTCTTTCTCTATTTGAGCATATCTAGTTTGTGACTCTGTAAATGCTTTTGATGCAAAAGCTATTGGATGTCCTTCCTGGAGCAATACGGCTCCTACACCTGTGCTTGATGCATCGACACCGATTGTTACTGATTTATTTACATCGTAGTATTGAAGAACTGGAGCTTCTGTTACTAAGCGTTGTAACTCTTCAAAACTTTTGTCATGTTCAGCATGCCACTGCCAGTCAATATCTTTCTCAAGAAGTTTTCACAGTGGCTGCGTGTGCCATTGCTTAGGTGCGATATAAACTTTCCAAGATAATTTATCATACCTAGAAATTGCTAAAATTCTTTCTTATTTGTAGGTTTACGCATTCCTTGCACTGCTTGTATTTTTTTCTCATCTGGCTTTACACCTTCTGATGTAAGGGTATGTCCGACGTATCTTACTTTTTTTAAACCAAATTTACATTTATCCAGATTTAGTTTAATATTTTGTTCTTCAGCTCGTTTGAGTACTCTCTCAAGACGTTCATTATGTTGTTTCTGATCTACACCCCACAATAATATATCATCCATTATAACTTCTGTACCTTCTATATCCTCAAACATTTGGGTCATTACTCTTTGGAAGATCTCTGGTGCAGACTTAATACCGAAAGGTAGCCTAGTATATCTATATCTTCAATTAGGACTATTAAAAGTACACAGTTTAGAACTTTCATTATCAAGCTGTATTTGCCAATATCCACTACTAGCATCTAATGTACTAAACACTTTAGCATTTGGAAGTTTTGTCACTACTTCTTCAATAATTTCATTGGATAGTGTTCATGCTCTAATGCTTCATTAAGATCTTTCGGATCTAGACATATACGTACACTATTCTTGTTCTTTTTAGCTACTACAACCATACTACTAACCCATTGTGTTGGCTGATTTTGTTTAACTATTACTCCAAGTTTTTCCATTCATTTTAACTCTGCTTTTACTTTATTTTGCAGTGGTACAGGAACACTTCTAGGTGCATGTACAACTGGTCTAACTTCAGGTTTGACATGTAAACGTTGTTCACCTTTAATACACCCTAAACCTCCAAACACATATTTATTTATCATATCATGATACGTGTTGGACTGCAATGTTTCTATACGTTTAACTAAGCCTAGTATCTGAAAAGCTTCAAGTCCTAACACTGGCTGTACATTTAGATTCATTATCTGAAATTCCACATCAAAATATTTATTTTTGTGCTCACAAACAAGGGTTACTTTACCTATTGGTTTGATTCTTTCTCCTGAATAAGTAATCAATTTTGCATTTGACTTTAGCACTTAACTCATGTATTGTTCTTTCTGGAATTACATTACATTGAGCACCAGTATCTAGTTTTAACTCAACTATATTCTGTTTACGCTTATTATGAACATTTAACTTTACTGTCCACTCTTTTTTATTATGCTCCTTTTCTATAGCATCCATGAAGAATTCATTACTTGACTCTACATCACCATCAATTTCTTCATTTACTTTTTT